GCACGGGTGTCGTCTGCGAAGCACCCGTCTTACTCCTACCAACGTCCACGGCCACCTCTTTTCCGAGCTCTACTCTCCTCCTTTTTCTCAGTAATGACTCATCCCCATTAGAGGATTCATCTGCGGGGTGATGGACCGGCACGCAAGAGGTCTCTTCCCTCACGACCATCTCGCGAGAAGGATCTCCTTTCTGTATTGTTTGAGTCCGACCCTCTCGAACGGACTCAGCCAGTATAAACTGCATCCCTGCAGCAGCAACAGCCCGTCGAAATGCAGGGACTGGAGCCCTACGCCTAGAAGCTCATCGACCTGTTATCAAGAAGAAAGAAGTCGTAACAACAAACAACGACACACAACCAATGAGTGATATAAGGGGAAGCACTTACCAGACGAGACTCTCGGCCCGAAGCGCTTTACGAAAGCAGGTCAGTCTCGAGTCTCCACTGCATGGGAGAGCAGACGAGCTACCCAATCCCTTATGCCTGCAATAGGGCGAGGTGGGCGTCCCATAGCTGCAAACAAAAGGTAAACAAACACTAAGAGGAACAAAGAAGAAATAAAAGAAAAGGGGAGGAGAATAAAGAAAGTGGCGACACTCACGTTTATCATTCCACCGCTCCGGGAACCTAGCAGGGTCAGACACGATGTGGACAGTTCTGACGAAGAAATACTTGTGCCAGAACTTACAACTCGCCCGGTCGTCTGTTCCGACTACCAACCCTTTTGTTCCAAGATGTCTCAAATGCACCATCGTGCCCCTGTGAAAGCCGGGCGAGAACAGGTGCAAGAGATGATGGACAGTCACCTCACATCCCGCCAACTCCGTATACTTTGTCAGCAGTAGAAGTATCTTAAGCGTGTATGGTGAGAGTTGCGCCGGGCAGACTTGATAGAATTTACAGAACTCTTTCGCCAACTGAGGGAGGGGGAAAGAATACTTGATCACGAAAGGGTACTCATAAAAAGCGCAGTACCCAGGTTTATGGACTTCCACGAAGTCAATCCCCGTCGGAACCATATCGACATGGGCGGGAATACTATACTTTGTACGGAGAGCATCTATATGAGCTTGGTCCATTTCGGAGAACACCGGGGTAGGAGTGGGGGCGGGATCTTTGAGGAAGTCACTCTGAGAGGTGGGGTGCCTCGACAGCAATTCCTCCACGGTAGGAAAGCTGCCCCTCTCTTCCACCATAACGTCCTCACCACCGGAGGGGAATGCCACGGACAGCGGGTCCGCCTCAGAGACCACTTCATGGGATTGATGTGTTCTAGCCATTGCTTTGACGGGAAAGATGTTAGAATAGCAGAGAAAGCTGTGGGTGGAGAATGAAAGAAGAAGAAGAAGCAGAAAACCTTGAGAACGAATGCAGTAAAGATGAGGAAGAATAACCGGAAGTGAAATGGCTAAGAGTTTTTGAAAAAACAAACCCTCCACCTATTTATAGGATTGGGTAGCAGCGGAATCAAAGCGAAAAGCTCTAGAGTAGCACCGGAATCGAGGCGAAAGACTACAGGCTGGTACCAAAACCGAAGCGACAAGTCGTCAACCCCTGTCCTGAAAACACACATAATGATGACGAAAAGGCAGATGACGTCATCTCCTGATAAGACGCAACACCAATGTCTTGTTAAGCACGTTGACCCCCCACTGTTGGCCAGGTCGTGACGGTCCATGAAATCAAATTTCTCCACGAAGGGTGAACGGTGTCCGCTTATCAAGGACGCGTCGAGTTGCGACCTCGACAAGTGGAGGGACTAACTGTATGGGTCCAAATTTGGACGACCACGACCACTGATGAACACGACCAACGGCGAGATCGTCGCAGCTCAACGTAGGTTTGATAGGGGGCGTTAGGAATATTTCTTCGAATATTCCCCGTAGTACGTTTTCTTTAGGATCTAGAAGGGGTCTGTCCCTTATATATAGTGGGAGAACAACCTTGTAATGGGGGCTTCTCTTTTTTGAACTTTTCTCTAAGACAGAACATTGATGGTAATACTTTTCTACAGAACTACCAGCATTTCTAACGTTCAATCATTGATCCTCATAAGATCAAGAAATATTATCCGTTGTGTTCATCTTATACTCTTTTTGTTCTAGAGATTATTATGCTTGCCTAAGATTTACCCCATCATTTTCTTTGATTGATTTATTCAAAAAGGTTGTAATATCTTTTGAGTTAAACAACGGTTATATGTGGTAATGGACAATCAATACAATTAATGCCCATAATGAATTCATTATTATGTGAGAAAACAATTATGATTGTACACTCCTATATAAGGATACAGAATTTTATTTGTAAGGACAAGTTCCAAGAACTACTGAAATACATTCTGTAATTCTATGTTTTATCAAAGTTTTCAACATTGATTTTACGGATTGATTATTGGTTTATTACATATTTCTCTTTTGTTAATTCTCTCTATAAATTTTACTATTTTACAAATAGCTTGTTTTGGAAGTGAAGTAAAACTTGGTTATCAGTAACCCGTTTTCTTCTAAATATAAGTTTTGACATAAAAAATTATTTTTTGGTTAAACATTAACTTCAAGAAAGAAAAAGATTTTATAGAAAAATAAATAATTTATCTTCCAAAAAGTCGTTTTTCTTCATGCTGAGATGTCAGCAGTCAAATTCCACTTCATATTTCTCTATATATTGTACGGAAAAGGGTTCAAAATGCGCCGAAACTATTGAAAAAGGTTTAAAAATACCCTTCACTCACCTATTGGGCTAAAAATATCCCTCCATCCACTTTTTTGGTTCACTTATGCCCTTTGACCGTTATGTCAATGCTAAATTAAAAATAATTACTATTCTTTTTGTAAAACTTTAAAAAAAAATATTTTGCAATTTTTTTTGTTTTTTAAACTAATGCACCAATAGTACACTAATTTAGTAAAGTTTTCTTATTTTTTTTTCTAGTTTTTACAAAAAAACAATTCATATTTTACAATTTTTTTGTAAAAATTGGAAAAAAATGTTTTTAATAAAATATTTTCATTTTTTAAAAACGGAAAAAAAAATATTTTCGTTTTTGAATTTTTTTTCATTTTTTTCAGTTTTTTAAAGCATTTCGTTTCGTTTTTCAGTTATTAAAAAATGAAAATATTTTATTAAAAACATTTTTTTCTGTTTTTACAAAAAAAATGCTTTAAAANTTCCAGTGTTCCAATTCGCATTATTCGCATTCGAACACTAGGGGGAAGTATATGAGGATACGACAACAATGACTACCATGTCGATCAGAACACAAAAGACGGGAACATAGTTGTATCATCGAGACCGAGGACTGCGCGGCCAACCCCGTAGAAACAAGTTGTACAAGTTAGCCACAAGAAATGGCAATTTTTTTTACGGAAAAGGTTCAAAATGCCCTTAAACTATTGGAAAAGGTTTAAAAATACCCTTCATCCACCTATTGGGATAAAAATACCCCTTCATCCACTTTTTTGGTTCACTTATGCCCTTTGACCGTTAGGTCAATGCTAAATTAAAAATAATTATTATTCTTTTTGTAATGCTTAAAAAAATATTTTGCAAATATTTTCGTTTTTTTAAACTAATGCGCCAATAGTCCACTAATTTAATAAAGTCTTCTTATTTTTTTTTCTAGTTTTTACAAAAAACAATTCAGTTTTCATTTTTTTCAGTTTTTTTAAAGAATTTTTTTTTTGTTGTAAAAACTGAAAAATTTTTTGTAAAAACAGAAAAATAAATTTTTTGAATAAAATATTTTCATTTTTTAAAAACTGAAAAAAATTATTCAACAAAATATTTTCTTTTTTGAAAAATATTTTTTTTTCATTTTTTTAGTTTTTTTAAAACATTTTTTATTTTCGTTTTTCAGTTTATTTTAAAAGAAAAAATATTTCGTTCTTTTAAAAAAACTGAAAAAATAGATTTTTCAAAAACGAAATATTTTATTAAAAACATTTCTTTTCTGTTTTTACATTTTTTTTTCCAGTTTTTACAAAAAAAATTGAAAAAAAATATTTTTTTTGTAAAAACTAAAAAACAAAGAAGAAGAAGACTTTACTAAATTAGTGGACTACTGGTGCATTAGTTTAAAAAACGAAAATATTTTGTGGAATATTTTTTTTTAAGTTTTTCAAAAAGAATAATAATTATTTTTATTTCAGCATTGACCTAACGGTCAAAGAGCATAAGTGAACCAAAAAGGTGGATGGAGGGGTATTTTTAGCGCAATAGGTGGATGAAGGGTAGTTTTAAACCTTTTCCAATAGTTTTGAGGCGTTTTGAACCCTTTTCCGTATGTTATAATATATAATTATATATTCGAAGTCCATAAAAACTAACAAGGCAAAGACAAATGGAGTTTGTTGCCTAGCTTATTGTCCTTTGCTTATCGAATTTTTTGCCATCATAATTTAAGAGCTATTAGACGTACTTGGTTTTTGTTTATTCAGATCATTGTTTCAAGATAAAAAGCCTTCTATTATAAGGTTTCTAGAGCTGTCACCTTATTTAACAGGTTCACTTTGTTTATTGTTTATATACGACTACTGTAATGAATTTTTATTATTATAAGTATATATTATGAAACAAAAGGACAACTAATACTCATGTCATATCATTGAAGCTTTGGTATCAGTAATGAAGCCATTTAAGACGTTCACACTTGAATAAGTAAAAGAAAAAAATCTTCGATAAAGGGTGTCAACATATAAATATTATATATCATTAAAATATAATATTTTATTTATATACATAATATAATTTTTCGACGAATAGTGGTCAGTTGATTACCCTTAAGATTACGTACCTTCGTCCCTTTTTGGTATATCTACTTTAAACATAAAAGTAGTAATCTTATACGGGGTACTTATTTCACGTTGAAACTTTGCTAAAAGCAAGAACAGATACGAGACAATTTGCTAATGACAAGGGTATAAATGGACCTAAAAATTTCAGATAATAGAAGTGACAAAAAAATAAATTCAGGGCTAAAGTGCACAACCTGAAAACTTGAAGGGAGCTAACAAACATTTCAGTGGATTGAATAAACTACCAAGTCAGCAAGAAACGGTCTTAACTCTTCATATCCGACAAATAGAAATGGCCACAACCATCGAATTTTCCAACTCCCTTATATCAACTTCCATTTGCTTGACCATTTCTTCAAAATTTCTCTATCATCACTCTCTCCTTCAATTCTCCCCAAAAACAAACATACAACTGAAAAAAATTCTTCGCCGGAAAAAACCATGCCGATGACGGATAATCAAGGATCGTTCCTTAATCGGATAAGCATTCGCCGGAATCAAGTTTCCAATATGGAAAACAATCATGAACAAGACATCGAAGACCTTGAACTTTTCCAAAAACACGTAGCTGATCGATTTTCCGATCTTTTACCAAATGATCCTTCATCAACTACTGATTCTCCAGCAAAAGATCACTCACCTCTATTCTCAATTTCATGGTTTCGTAAATTGCTCGATGTTTTCCTATGTTGTGAGGCTGAATTTAAAGCGCTTGTTTTAATTGGACGTGATCCTGTTCAATTTTCGAAACCTCCATTGGACCGTCTTGTTCCTGATATCTTAGAACGTTCGATTAAGTCTCTTGATATTTGTAATGCGGTGACGCACGGGTTAGAACTCGTGCGTCACTGGCAAAAGCTAGCTCAAATCGCCGTTACAGCGTTTGAACAAAAGCCAATGGGAGACGGACAAGTAAGACGCGCTAAAAAGGCGTTGAACACATTGCTTACGTCGATGATGTTAGATGATAAGGAGAATAATTATCACGCAAAAGCTGCTGAGCGCACGTGGTCATTTGGCAGGCGTAGCGGTGGTGGTGGTGCTGCTGGGAATAATAATAAAGACAGAACTAATGGAACGTTTCGTTCTATGTCATGGTCCGTAGCAAAATCGTGGTCCGCTTCGAAACAGATTCAGGCAATGGCCTCCAATCTCGTTGCGCCACGTGGCGGTGAGCCGACGGGGCTGGCGGTCCCGATTTATGCCATGGGCACAATTTTCGTGTTCGTGATGTGGGCCCTGGTGGCGGCGATTCCGTGTCAGGAACGGACAGGTCTGTTAACACATCTTCCATTGCCGAGGAATTTGAATTGGGGACAGGCTTTAATTGCACTGCAGGATAAAATCGCAGAGGAATGGAAGAAAAAGGAGAAAAAGGGAACGACCGGGTTATTAGATGAAATGCAGAAAATGGAGAAAGTGGCACAGAATTTGGTGGATTTCGCCGAAAATTTTCAGTTTCCGGCAGAGGAGGAGAAACTGGAAGAGGTGGCGGCACAGGTGGCGGAGATGGCGGAGATATGCCGGAAAATGGAGGAAGGGTTAGCGCCGTTGCAACAACAGATTAGGGAAGTGTTTCACAGGATTGTAAGGAGCAGAGCTGAAGTCCTTGATGTTCTTGATCAAATTGGTAAAATGTCAACACCAGTTCCATATTGACTTTAAAAAAAAAAAAAAAGGATTCAATTTTTACAATTTCCAACTGGGGATTGGAATTAGTTTATTTTGTTATTGTTTTTTTGTTTTGTGCTCTGCTGTTTACAGAGGAAAAATCTCTGTTTGCAAAAGGCTGACAAATTTTTGTGATAATTCTTATACTATAATCAAGTTTTTATTTGTTTCATTCTGTAAAAAGAAATGAACAGTAAATTGATAGCTCTATCTCTTTGTTTCACAGTTTCAGGCCATCGCGGAAATCGTGTATTAACTATACAATCACAAACAAAATAAATAAAGAAGAAAAAACTAGACAAGGAAAAAATTCAAGACATAAATAATACAAAGCGTATAAGGAAGCTAATGAGATGGTTGACGCTCACAAGAATAAATGAGCTTTTTTCACATTTATCCAGCGCCCGCAACTATTTATATTCAGTAGTCGAAAAAATATAGTATATAATTTATACTCCTTCCTTTCACTTTTACTTGTCTACTATGGAATTTGTACACCCGTTAAAAATAATAAATGAAGTGCATAATTTTTCATGATACACCATATTAATTGATGCATATTTTTAATAAATTTGAGAAGGTGATTCGAAATGAATAATTAATACTGTGGGTGTAATAAGAAAATAGAAATTATCTTCTCTTGATATGTTAAACGTGACAAGTAAAAGTGAAAATCTATTTTTATAATACTAGACAAGTAAAAGTGAACGGAGTGAGTAGTATATTTTTTGTATATAACATACGGAATATTTCCGACTATAATTTTAAAAGCGGTTATACAATATCATTTTTCTAATAAAAATATTGTACTCACCGACCAAGTCATTAATAATAACAATTCCTGACAATAACCAATTTTAGAAATTTGAGAGCGAGAGGTAAAACATGACATATTAGATAGTATTTCTAAGTTCTAACTACAGCAATTACAATCGTCCATTAAACCTTATTTGTCAACTTATAGTTTGCACATATTCAAAATAGCAGTTCAATGCATCTTGTGATATAATTCTACACAAAATGAGGTAAACAAAGAAAAGACGAAAAAGCTAAAAAAAATTTGATGTTTAATCGAAAAATGGTAGAATAATGAATCCTAGTCGTAGGAAAATGTATAAAAGGCATGTTTTTTGTAGTCCTTTTCTTTTGCGGGTAAGAGTTCATAATCAAAGTTGCTAGAATAATTTGTAAACAATATGTTCATTTGGACTTTTATCAAGATACCAAGAAAAGTCAATCAACAAGAATATAAGAAAGCGAGAGAAAAGGAGAAGTTTTATTTTGTGTCTCACACAACTTACATTAGTTGTATGAGGCTCTTTTTTGTCTCACAAATTTGTAGACCCCAATCTTACACTTCTGGGTCCACAAAAACTTGGGTCCACAAAACTGTGAGCTAAAAAGGAGCCTCACACAACTAGTGTCAGTTGTAGTTGTATAAGACACAAAATAAAATTTTCCATTTCATGTTGGTAAAAAAAAGTTAAGAAGAAGTCATGAACCAGCAGAAAGTTTTCTTGGTAGGCTTAATAAATTATATTTCTGCTAGTTCCTGATTCAACGAACAAATTAATTGGTCCCATTTAAGTTCTAATAATAAATAATATACGCCTGCTAGTTCATAATTCAAAAGGGCAAAACAGTCGGTCCCATTAAAATCTAAAACTAATGTTTCGTGAGAAGTTGGATTGACTGGTATTTCATTGTTTAATCAGCTCCTAAACTCTGCAGATTGAGACACTTCTAAAGTAATATTATTGTTCTCTTTTGCTTCTTGATAATGTATTAGTCAATAATATGATATATCTCATAACAACTCATTATTTTCAATAACAGCGACGCACTGTAATATTTTGCTCAAAAAAAGGCTGTAGGTCATTAATGACATGATTAAGTGCTAGTGATGGTGCTTTACTACTTTATAATTGTATTCATTGCTTGTTTTCGCAGTTTTTCTAGTCTTGCTCCAGATCATGCAATTTCTTCAACATAACCTTCTACAAACTTGAACAACTCTCTGGGCTTTTGGTGTCATCAGAAATGATACCAGGGAGCCACTCTGAAGGGCTGCTATTTAGGAATTAGCCGGTGCGTCCTAAATTTCAATTTTTCAGTTTAATTTTTCGGGACAAAAATATCCTGAATTATCCTTAAATTAATATTTTTAGTTTAAAATTGTATGATAAAATAAATATTAGGTAATCTCTGAATAGCATCTTTGAAAATGACTATCTATGCACTTGCGTTTTATCTCCGTTTCACTGCTTCGGTCCAGGCCCAAGCAGCCAGACCCCTTTCAGGAATATTTGTTTGTGTTCGAAGTCCATCCCTTGCACCAACATTATAACTTTATACATAACAATAACAATCCGGTGGAATCCTTATAAGTAAGGTTTGTGAAGGATAATGTGTACGCAGACCTTAGTTTATGAGCGAATTTAGAGAGCAGAAGGGTTTTTTTTTTAACAATTTTACTTTGTAATAGCATCATAATATACTAATTAAGATATGCCTAGTTTAATTGATACTCTTAAGCATACTTTACAATGATAGTTATGATAGGCTATAATTACGTATTTTAGTCGATTATTACACTCTAATTTACTGCACTTTAATTGAGTTTGAGCTTTAATCGCTAGTGTTTTGCACTAACTGTGTGTGTTATGCCTTGTGAGAGTGATTCCGAGCTATGTAGATGTTATGGAATGAATTTAAGTGATTTGGAGCTTTGAAGTCTGAGTAAAAGTTCAAGGAATTAAGCCGGGATCGTGTTTGGGGGTCAACGGATGATAGTTAGAGCAAACGAAGACTTCAGTAGGCAGATTGCGCACTGTCTAGTAAAATAGATATAACTTTTTGCTCAAAACACCATTTTGGCTCCACAATATTTGGTTGGAAAGCTAACTCAAAGGGCTACAACTTTCATGTTTTACGTTTTCCCAAATTAGGAACGGAACAGGGTGAAAAATGCGCGAACGCGCGAAGTTAGCACGAAGTCGCGCGGTAGTTCGCGCGCGTTAAATGCTGAGGCAGAATAGTGCGCGAAGAAACGCGCGAGCTCGCGCTAGTCACCCGGGAAAAGTGTCCTTTTTCATATTGGAGAAGGTATAATTGTTTGGGCCCAACCCTACTTGGTATACATGAGAGAACGTTTTTAGAGTAATTTTTGGACGTGGAGGAACACACACCACGGTTGGAGGAGGCTTTTAACTAGTTTTTCTTCTCTTCTCTTCTTTTAGTTTCATAGTTTATTTGTTCTAGAGTTCTTGGGTGTTACATGAACGTTGTGGTTTGAAGCTTGAATTGTTCTTATTATTTTATCATATTGGTTTATTTATTCAATCTTGCGCTTAATTATTTGATTGCTTGATCACCAATTAAATACTATCTACGAATCTAGGATTGAACTCGGGAGAGAGAATTCTAGATTGCATATAAGATTGAGTAGAGCAAGATCTTAACTCTTAGGGGGAACGGATTTGCGGTTAGGATAGGAATATACCTAATCGCCTTGCTTGGTTATTATACGGGAATTATAAATGCGTTCTTGTTAATCCTAATTCCATAGGAATATAGGCGTTAGGTTAGCTTGAATAGGCGAGTTGCACTTCGGGAGAAGGCTACGAGCAATATTAACCCCGTCAATTAATAAACCAGATAAATTAATTAGACGATTTAAGTGGAAAACTCAACGGGATTGTTAGCTAACCCATAGCTCTAGAATATTCACTCACATTGAATTCGTCTCTATAATTCGCCAACTTTTTTCTTTAATCTCTTAGTTTACTACTCTAGATTATCTTTAGTTAAATATTCATACTTTAAGATTTGCTTGAATAGATTAATTGTTTGGTTTAATTTAGTTGATAGTTAATCACAAGTCCCTGTGGATACGATATCTGGATTTACAATCCTATATTACTTGTCGACCACGTATACTTGCGTGTGCGTTCGGAAGCAACAATAGCTTACATTTTCTTTATGGAGGAGTCAATGGATGAGGAACAAAGTGCGTATATTCTTAAATTTTTGATGTCAAGGAGACAAAACGACATTCCTCACTTAAAGGCCAAGAAGTGCAAGATGCGATACCTATTACTTGGTTCATTTGTTTTTACACCACCGCCCCAAGAACGTGACACAAAAATTGATGCAAAACTAGGGGCGCAATTTATATCCTCAAAGTGGAGGAAAAATGGTGAAAGTGATGGCGTCGTGCCGCGACGTTAAATCAAGCGCTTGTTGGGAGGCAACCCAATTTTATTTTATTTTTTATTTTTATTTTTATTGTGTTATTTCTTTTGTAGTATTATTTTTGTGTTTTGTAGGAGTAGGATCATAGAGTCAAAGTTAATAGACATGTGCAAAAGCGAGCAGGTGGTTGAAACTAAGAGTGAGGTACCCGCACAAGGGATCATACGTGGGAGAAGTCTGAGTATCCCGTGAGCTGCTAATTCTTCGGCCTTTGGCCTACTAGGGAGTTTCTTTTACCCTCTTGTTATGTACGCTGTGCATTGAAGACATTGCACAATTTTAAGTGTGGGGTGAGGAGATTGTCTGAGTGACTTTCTATGCTATTTTAGTTGTGTTAGTTTAATTGAATATATATTTTTTCAGAAAAACAAAAAAAAATTAAAAATTAAAAATAAAATTAGACTTTTCCCGACGATGGATCTCCTAGACAGTTTTCTTGAGGGATGTTAAGTCTAAAGAGAAAGAACAAAAAGATTTTCTTTGTAGATAGTGTAGCTTCCCCCTTGGTTTTTCTTTGTGCCGCGGTTCTTTTTCAAGGGTTTTGTTTGAACCGGGTGTAGGTAGTTTTATTTTTTTTAGGAGAGAAGCCATGGTGATATGAATTGAATTGAATCAATATCTTCTAACTTTGTCATGCCTTGAGAATAGTGAGTACTTTAGTTGTGACGCTTAGGCTCAATTTTTGACTCTTGTATAAGTACCTTAAATTGTATGATCTTAACTTTGATTAACTTCTTTGACTAGAGTGTCTTGATGAGTCCAATCCTAAGTGAGTTATGTGCCATGTGTGTGTAAGGTTTTGTGTTATTCTGTGCATTGCATTCGATGTCTAGAACTTGCCCCGTGTGTTTGCACAGCGAAATAGTAGTTTTGTTCAGTCTTGGAAGTGATATAGGCGTTTCTTTGTTGAGCCATATAAATATTTTACCCACCTAATTGTTATGTATCATAGTTAA